GTGATGTCAAAACCCCTGAACCTTAAACCCCAAAAGCAGCTTGGGAGAGTGGACGCCCTGAACCGGCTGGGCCCAGTGTGAGAGCGTACAGCCCGGAACGGTGGGCAAGTGGCTGTTCTGAGACCTCGAAAGACCTGCCGTGAGTGCTGTGGCTCTGGCTCGCGATGTGGGTGGGGGCCACAGATCTTCAGGACAGGGACTCCAAGGCATCCTCGCAGAGGCCGAAAGCGCAGAAGGATCCTGGCGAGGACTTCTGAGTTGGGAGTTTCAGAAGATGAAGCTACGTGCCCCTCCACACCAAACCCATGTCTTCGAAAAGCCTCCATTCACTCCCGGGTAGATCTGGAGTCAATAAGAACTGCACCGAACTACTCCGAAGGCAAGTAGGCCACTCCATGCTTCGCGTGCTCTTACAAGCGTGAGACCTACTGAGCGGCGGAGGAGCAGCGTGCCGAGGAGCCGGCCGGCGGGGAGCCCTCCAAGGCCGGTGACGAGGCCTTCTCTGAGCAAGTCTCCAGATTCCGCCACCATTCTGCCACCTTGCAAACTTTGGGCTTGCTGGCAAGGGCATTTGAGCTTGTCAGGAATGTTTTTGTGCTTGGAAATTCTTGAGGGTGCGGTGGCACAGCCGTTGGCCGTTGGGCTTTGCGGAAAGAGAGTCAAAGCTGAAGCTCTGGAAAACTGGGAGGACTCCTCCGAGGATAGTGCAGACGGTGCAGACCTCGTGGAGACCGAGGAGATGGGGGGCGTCCCAGTGTTTAGATTGAGGCGATATTTCGGGATGTTATGGTACGGCAGTACGACAGTACTGCCTCACCCTTATTAGGGGTTTGTAGGCGGATTTGGGGCTTGAAAGGCTTCGGGGGTCTTGAGGCTTACCATTGCAGGGTTAGGACTTCATCCATCACCTTGTCCAGCTGCTGCCTTTCCGCGTCTATGCAGTTCTGTCTTTTACGTACCGAGGAGCACACCTCGCAAACACTACAGTACCATTTCAGCATGCATTGACGGTAGCCAGGAGCCGTGCCTGTTCGGTGCAGCTTTTTTTTTCTGACAGAGACTGCAGTGCATCAGTTGCTCCTAGAGAGGAAAGCTCGCCTCCCAGCAAGAAGGCATCACGAAAAGGCGGTTCCAAAGAAAGGGCCAGCCAGCACCAGAAGCATTCGAAGTCTGCATCTGTCAAGAAGATCTTTGGCAGCAAGAGTTTTGCAGGTTTTAGCCTGGTGGCCAGTGGTCAGGTGGAACGATCTCACGGGGAACGGATGAGAGCTTGCAGCCCAGGCACAAGAAGGGCGGGTTCCACGTCTATGTCGAGGCGTGGGCGGGCACATTGGTTCAAAGGGGGGGCGACTCGACCCGTGGATGTGCGGGGGTCATTTCGACGGGCTCCGTGGTGCAGTTAAGTATGTGTCGCTTTCCCCTGAGGCCGACGGCGTGCTCCTGGAGCAAGGAAGTCGCGCAGAGCAGAAGCATGAGGCGTAGATCGTAGGAAAAAGCAGGACCGGAGACCAGGCGATGGCACGAAATCCGTGCACTGTTTGCTTGTGTTTCCCGAGTAGTCGAAGATCCTTCCGAACGTTGTCCGGAAGATCGAGTGCCAGTAAGGGGGTGGGGGGGGGGGGCAGGTCGGCCAACAAATCGGGACACTGCCGAGTCGGATCGAGCGGAAGACAGACTGACTTGCATTCGAAACTTTTGAAGGGTTGTGTGCTCATCATTGCTGTCCAATTGCGGGCTTTAGCTGCTGAAATGTGTCAAGTGTACAACTGGTGAGGCGCAGCGCCCACAGTAACGTGAACATATTTGCTTGCAGTTCCTGTACAGCTGCGAGGTTATCTAACGCACTCGGTGCAACAAGCAGAAGCAAGAAGCAGAGTTTTTCAGTCGGACAGGCTTTGTTTGCAGTTTGTCAACCAGACAGCGTCAACATATTTAGGGGTTGCTGGAGTTCCATGGTCTTTGAAGCAGCAATGCCATGGATGCATCCGTGGATGAGGTGCGGGCCTGAGCCGGGAATCGATTCAGAACGCCCTTCCTTGTTGGTTGGTTGCTTTGTCACGGTTCTTCAGTGAAACAGTTCCAAACCTCACCCTCAAAGTCGTGTTGTGCTCGTGGCAGATCTTGGCGACCTTGCAGAAGGAGCTGCCCGGAGCAATTGACGGTTTATCTGCAGGGAGCTTTGAGAGGCGGCATTTTGCTTGTGAGTTGTGTTGGTGCAAGATGTAGAAGTCAAGGCTCGGATTGCCCTGCAAAGCAGGAGTCTTTCTTCTGGAGGGCCAAGCAGGCAGGGGCTGGGGGCAGCTTCGATATCGAAGATCCAGTCGTCGGAGGGATGCACTCATTCAAGCCCGTAGCAAGCTTCGCTACCCCCGAGCCGAATTGTTACAGCTGAAATTCCAGGGGCATTCCGAAATCTTGAGCGCCAGTCAGCCGCGGTAAAGAAACCCCTGCTTGTCGAAAGTCGGCTCTGGAGGCCACGAAAGAGGAGATCCTGAAGCCGGCGAACCGACAGGAGGTGTCACAGGGGCGCAGGGAGTTCAGTCAGTATTTCAGGGCTTAAATTTGGAACTTTCGGGTTCCGCGTTCCAAGGAATTGCAGGGCTCTTGTTCATTACCTGGTAGACTGAGAGGACCGGGGATTCAGCATGTCAGGGTTTCGGGTTTCAGCGTTTGGGGTTTAGGGGTTCAATCTTCAGGGTACAAACTCCCGCGGTAAGATTGCGGGAGGATTAGCAGATCCAGGTTCCGAAAGCTTCTTTAGCCGACCAGGCGAGTGCTTCGTGCGGAGGTGTTTATGTGGTCACCTCGACCCCGGCCACAAAACTTGTAGCTGCACAGAAATCAAATCAGCCCTCCTATTATTGCCCAAACACCAAGCATACGACAGCCCTGCTCGAATGTCTTGAAGACACTTTCTTCGCGTGTCGGGACGTCGCCTTTAGACAAATCAAGTCTGGTAAGGGTCGCAACTCGAATGTGCTCAGCTGAAAAGCCTGCTACTTTCCCCTCTCCCATTGCGAAACATAAAGCAGCTCCAAGCAAGAGCTCCTCCAAACGACTTTGGGGTAGCTTCAGGCAGAGGACGGTCGGCCGGGAGCTGAGTCCCTGCAGAGCCTCAAGCTGGGTTCATCACTTCAGCCGTTGTTTCAGGTTCTCAATGCCTTTTTGGGCTCTGGTTTCCAACCTTGTACTCGTAGTAGCAATGAAGCTGACAGGTTTCCTACGTCATTGGGGGATTTGTTGGACGACTTGCGTATAGTGTACCCTGGGATACCGGCTTTGGAATCTTTGGAAGCGCGATTCGCCAACTAAAGCTATGTTGCAGGTCGACTGTGTACTCGAGCCTTCGAAGTTGTTCGAAGGTTTGCATCTTGTCATCCAGCAACTAGACTCTTCCTGAACTCAAGGGTTTCTTGTTCAGTATCGCTGGTAGAACTTTGGAATCCTAGTCCGTGGTTCGGGAACCTTGGAGTTTCTGATTACCCTTGAAAGTGGCTTTCATTCAGAGGCGGCCCAGATTCAGTCTGGAGGTCAAAGTTACTTGGTTCTGAGAGGAGCAAGCACAACGCTCAGTATAAGGCCTGGGCCTCCAAAACAGGTAGGAACAAATGTACGTATCCCCCGAGAGTTCCCTCACAATTGCACTGCAGCAAAATCCTAAGAGATGGCGCAGGATATGGCAGGGCCGCGGCAATGCCAAGGCCCGACCTTTCTGAACACGGACGGGCTTTCTTGCTGCGGTTGGCTTGGCGCCGTCTTTTCTCAACATAGTTTCTAATGCTAGTATAGTACAGGGTTTTGATTTGTTGAGGGTCCTTCCAGGGTTTACAAAGTCTTGTCGGATTGCAACATCTTCCTCCCCAACCCGAAATGCCCTAAGCCCCTCGGCAGGTTTCCCAGGATGCGGTCGCCAAAGCTTTCGCGGCCAGCGGCTGGAGGGACCAAGTGAAGGCGAGCGTAAGTTTATCTGCGTTTGCGAGATTTTGGGTCTCGGGTTAAATGTTTGTTACCTACGGTTTCAGCGATTTTGGATTAAGGGATTTGGGTTGAGGGCTTAGGGGAGAAGCTGAGATTGTGACTGGTCAGCCGATTGTGCCTGAAAAGTAAGTTAGGGCCTTCATCAATGTCAGGAACCAAGGCATGTGTTGAGGTCTTACAGGTCGTAAATGCACGGTGATGGAAGGGCATCGAAAGGTGATTGCATCAAATGTCGTTTGGGCTGATGCCGGCAAGCTCCACGTACACGGAGTGGACGACGCCATCATTTTTCGTGAACACGACTGCACCTCCCCCCCGGCCCCGGCAAGCAGGTCGTAAGATGATTGGTGGTATGTCGAACCTTAGATTATCGGCAGGGTCCCAACAACCGTGCGCTTGCAGGCCTTTGCCTACCACCGTTTGAGATCGATGCGTTTCCGAGCAGGCGAGCACTTCAGAAATCCTCAGAAGGGTTTAGAGGTTTCGGGTCTTGGAGAAGGGCAGTGCAATGCTGTGCAGAAGCCAGACGCCAGGTTCATGACACTTGCGCATGGGATTGCCCACATAAGCGAGGAAGAGGATGCGCCGGCTGCCAGTGATGCCCTAAACCAAGTCAGAAAGGCGACATGGAAGAGCCCACGCCAACAGATTCCGTTTGGATCTCAGATCTGGGCTGGACATCGCAGCCAATGTTATCCCATGTAACTTCATGTGAGTCTGTCGCTCCTTTATGGCTATGGCCAGCTACAGGTTAATACCAGGCCCTTAGGCTGACCCGTTGACGGCCCCAAGGCGTGTTGCATCCGTGCTTGTTCCGCAGCTTGGCTCTGGCACACAGGCATCGCGAGGGCGTGCAAGTGTCCAGGGCGGCTTTGGAAATGCAGATCAGATGAGAGCACCTACGGACCTAGGATCGCAGGATGCAGACCGCGGTTAAGGCGAGATGCAATCCAGGCCAGGCGCACAGGCATACTTTTCTCGGGATCTCGCTCAGCTTTGCAGTGACCGGGTCCGCAGCGGGCATGGCGGAGTCCAGCGAGGAGGCCTCTCCAATTTGCTCTCTTGAAGCCCAAGCATACAGTCAATGTCAGAGATTTGCAGGTCCCGGACTCGCTGGAGATCACCTAGTTTAAGTCGAGATTGGAGCTTCGGGTCTAGAGCTGCGAAGCCCACCGCGGTCGAAGCTTGCCAGGAGGAGCAGCCGGAGTCATCCGTCCCAACCCAACCAGCTGGCGATGTGCCTTGGGCACTGATTAAACTACGAGGTGACCGCTTGCTGAAGCCAGAGGCCAGAGGTCCATCTCCAGCAAGGTCGAGACTCGAACCGCTCAGCGAATCGAACAAGATCCGCAGTTCACCTTCCCGAAGATGGTGGTGCTTTGGCTGAGATGTCGCTGAGGTTTACATCTAAAACAAAGGCGTTTGAGAGGTCGCTTCTCCAGTTGTTGTTCCACCCAGTGGAGCACGGGTTTTAGGGACGATCTGCGTCCCACACAGCATTCCTTTAAGACAGCTCGTGCAGCAGTGAATTGCAGAAGTGCGGAAGCCACCTTTTCGTCCTGAGTGCTTCAAACTGAAACTTCCCTTCGTCTCTGACATCTGCCAAGTTTAACAGCGCTGTCGTTGGGTTGATGTACATGCCACCTGGCGAAGACCGATCCGGCACTGGCTTTGAGTCTCAGGGCCCTTTGCTTGCGCGTAGTTGGAGCAAGCAATCAAAAGCTGTCACCCTGAGCCAGCCGTGATGGAAGTACGATCAGAGGATCAAGACCCGTGCCAGCACCAGATTCTAGAATCCCTTGATCACTAAGGATCTATACACTACAAGCACTCTTCGAAATGATTTATACAATGGGAACCCTGTGTTCGGAAACCTCAGTTGAGGTGGTGCGACCTCCTCGGCCGCCCTGTTTACCCCCTCGCTGCCTATGCGGCGCTTCTGTGCCTTGTCGGCTTGAGACCCCATTCTACATTGAGGCGGCGGTGAGCCGGTGAGCTCTTTCTCAGGGTGTGTGGGGGGGTTTTGCGCGCTGTGAAGCCCATCCGTCTGTGATGGGAGCCCAGAGCTGAGGATTTCCCCACTGCGCCTGGGATGGACCAAGAGGATGCGCTACGAGGCAGCTGCGGGCTCCGCCCTATTCCTACCATCAGAACTCGGTTCAAAAGCCTAGGACAATCTCAGGCGAAAGGGTCAGGTAGCCAAGCACCTGCACTGCAGCCCACGAGCTACAGGTGCGGTCCATGATCTCCATCTACTTCTTTGCCTGCCGGTGGCAGTGATCCCGAATCCCAAAAAGCCTTAAGCCCTAGCCCATAGGGCACCGGGAGACTCAGATGCGGCCACACGGAACTTGCCATGGCCGCACGCCTCACTTCAAGTGTAAACTCCGTGGCATCATAATTGACTCCCCCGACGAGAAGACTAGCAATGACACAGCAAAACGCTACAGAGCAAGACTTGCCACAGTGATCGTAGTCATCATGGAGTCGGCAATGCTGAAGAAGAATACAAAGTTAAGACGCTCGAGCCGAGGTGCTGAGTGCCGGAGTTCTGCCCGTTTGGTGCCTGAAGCGCGGTGGGCAGGCGCAGACCAGGGATTGAGCTTGTTCGAGTCTGGTTCCGGTATGAGGATTTGAGGTTTCCGAAACCGTGTCCTTCCATCCTCATCGGATTTGCACAGCGACTTTCAACCCTGGCCAGCGGAAAGGTGGGCCGCGCGATCTTTGGACACCGGACTTGATTGGAGGGCGCGGTTGGGTTCAGGGCCTTCGTCCTCGCTGTGACGTGATGCGGAACTTGCAATCGCTTGCGCAGTTACGGACAAGCTTAGAGACTCCCAGGTTTCCGCCGCAACCGCTGCAGTCTTGTCAGGCGTTCTTATTAATTCAGGACTCATGGGTGTGCACTCGGGTGGCATTGGGGTTTCACATTCTTTGCTTGCTGAGAATTATGGAGAATCGCTTCTGGAAAGCATGCTTTGCGAGTTTGAAGACGTTTTCACCAACGCAAATCGAGGGTTTCGGCACCGTCTTCCAAGACGAATCTTCAGCCTTCAGCCCAGGACTTTATGTGGCATGGTACATGCTGATGGACGACGCGCCACTGCGAGGCGCAGCAAAGATCGTGGGTGTCGGATCCCGGTGATGACCCCTGAATACATCGGGGCAGCAAAACTTTTCAACAGTCCCCTCAGGCGGCCGCTTCCTCCCGTCCCTGCGGAAGCGCTTGTTCTGGAAACACTTCGCAGACGCTTTTCTTTGTTTAGATTCTGTCACGTCAGTCACGTCTCCTGCAAATCTTACCAGGGTGTATCTGCGCAGTAGTCGTCGAGTGCATCGTTTTGGCAGTTCAGCTGTAGGACATCGGAAGCCATGTTCGAGCATCTTCTGTTCTACACCGATCAATAGGTCGACTGAAAGCAGATCTCATAGTTCGGCTCTGTTTTGGATGCAGTCAGGAATCACCCGAGCGACTGCCCGAAATTATATTCAAGGTGCAAGCTTTCTTCTCGACTAGACTCAGGACAGCTGCGTAGCCAAACGGAGTCAGTTCTTTCATCGATCGACTGCAAGATAATCGCAAGCATGCATCAGGGTACAGTGGAGCCCAAGCCTGTGGCAAACATGCCATCTGTTTCAAGGCGTATTTTCCGATGTCCTTGACGCGCACGGCTAAGCTTGACCCGACACTGGGAAGTATTCAGCCGGTGCTGGGATCAGGAAGTGTCAGAAGCCACTGCAGCGTGGCGGCGTAGCTATGACTCTGTTGTTCTGAAGGCCTTCCCAAAACCCGACCAAACAAAGTTGTGTTCCTTGGTGCTGGTTTGGCACCCTGTCCCCAAAGCTCATGGAAAGCCTTACAACGTGCTGAGGAAGCGCAACTACATTTTCGGTTACCATCCGCATGGGGCGACGCAGCTGCCGTCAAGTCATCAGTGTTGAGCTCTTTGTGTGCTTGGGGCTCCTGCGAGCAGATCCGACCGCTATAAGGAAGCTTCGAAATCCACGGGGGCAGTTGTCCAATCCCATTAAAAAAGGTAGCACACCGACCAGACTTCGTGGTTTGTGGCCCATGGCGAGAGCTGCAGAGTAGAGCCCAAAGAGCAGAGTAGAGGCGCATGTCCCCCAGAAGACCGAAGAAGGGGCTTCGCCGGGTTCTAACCTAAAGCTCTTGGGGCTCAGTACCTTTCCGACCCAGAGATTCGAGGTGATCAGCATGGGGGCCTTGTGCAACTTCGCCACGGAGGCCTTTCTTCGGACCCCCCTGCCAACCCCAAAACCAAATCAAATTAGCATACCGAAAATTATGAGTTCTTGCAAGGACCCCCCCCTAAAGTACCCTTCGGCCTGCTTTTTCGAAAAGCCCGGGCTCCGAGAGGCGACGGACTTCTCAGCGCTCTTCCCGGGGATCGACCTCCGACTCCTCACGCTGGGCTTGAACTTCAGGAGAAGCTAAGCAGCTAAGTAGTAGTTATCTAGTAGTAGTAGTTGTTTGGGGCTTGGGGTTTAGTCCTAAGGGTTTCGAGATGTTTCGAGTAACGCTTCAGGAGTTAGGATGAGCTTGATGAGCTTGCGCGAGCAAAGGGCTTCCTGATTTCTGCAGGATGGATCTCAGGGCTTCTTCAAGCGCCCGACAGGGGCTCCCGAATTCATCACTTGGCTGCAGAACGCACCGCTTTGTAGGAGAGGTCATGCCTGGCTCTGAGGAGTCAGAACTAGAGCATGTGTCCCAGACGTTCGGAGCTGAGCTTCAAAAGGCTCTAAAGCCTGCAGGATACCAGTGTTCCGGGAATACCTCTTGGGCATGGGGGTGCCTTGGCTGCTCCGCATCATGTGGAGGTTTCTTTTATGGGTTCAGCACAAGCAGCGATCGTTTGGAGAGAGGCTTCCAGGGTTTAGGGGCTTGAGGGGTTTGACTTGGAAAGATGAGGTCCCCACACATGTTAGCCTAATTATTGCCTTCGGCGAGGTGAACGACGTTAGCCGCAAATCCATCGAAGGCGGACCACCGGAGTCACACGAGAGATGCTATCCACTTCTCCCACTTTTGCAGATCTTCTCGCGCAGCCTCTCCCCGACCTTTTCCGTTCCGGAGGCAACCTGGCACGCGGGCCGGGTGCATCGGTGATGATCGTCATTGGAGGCCCTCTGCCCATGTTGGACTTTGCTCTTCACTCAGCCTGGTCTGCAAGCTGTGCTCAGCTTGTGGTGTGGGGGGCAAGGCGCACGGGAGTCTCTCGAGACGGCGCCGGGCACCAACAAGCTGATCCTGGGCAACCGCAAGGCGCCGCGGCGAGGAAGGCGAGGAAGGCTCAGAGCCGAGCAAAGAGCGAGAGCCCTGGGCAGGGCTTCGTGAAGCTGGCGCTGCAGAAGGGGGCCTCCCTGGTTCCGGTGAGGGGCTTACCTTTTTGGGGTAAGAGACGAAGAAGCTTCTGCGAAGCTTCCGGGACGGTTCGGCCTTGCGAAGTCTCGAAGTCTGGGTGTTTTTTGTGATTTCGTCTCAGAAGCTGTTGCGGGCTTTGTGGATGTTGGGTCCTGTCAACCCTGCGGGGGTGACCAGATTTAGTGGTCGGACTCATTGGCCTGGTGTTCTGACATTCCTGATCCTCACACTTTGGGGAGTTTGAAGGTCTACTCCTTTGGTGAGACGGACCTTTTTGGCGTCTATGCCTCCAGCCGATTTCGCAGGCACGGCGGGAGGGAGACAGGGCTCTTGCAATTGAGATGCAACCAAAAGGCAGAGGCGTTATTTGCCAATTCATCCGCTTGTATACGTCCTGAAAAGCCCTTCGTTTTCAGAACCTGGTGTTTCGAATTGATTCCTTGCATCAATTGGAAGTTCCCCCCAGAGATCCTTCTGCACCCCTTACCATAAACCCGTATGTGGAGCCCCTTCAAGATGTCAGTGGGAGCTTGAAGAAGGAGGCGCAGGAAGAGTTGGGCTTGAAGCCCTGACAGCTCCCGAACTCCAGACGAAACCGTGCGAAGTGCGAGCCGCGAGCCTATGGGGCGTAGATCGCGAATATAAGGTTGCGGAGAGCTTAGGGCTGTCAGGTTGTTGGGCTACTGACGCTTTGGGATCTTGGGGCTTAGAGTTCTGTGTGGTAGGGTCTCACGGGATCGGAAGCTACGCCAGACCCGACCAGGCTCCAGCTGAGGCTGCAGAAGCAGCTAGGTCGGGCACCCAAACTGCTGTGAAGTTCTGAACGTCTAGTGAGGTTCTTGGAAAATGTTGATTTTAAGCTAGCACTGGAAGGAATCCAGACTATTGACTATAGATACTCTCTATCTATGATATTACTATACCGTAAAGTGCATTGCGTAAGTTGGCACAGACTTTCGGTGGCACTCCATGGCCACATCCGATGCAGGATCAACCGTGGACAGTAAAGCCCTCTTCATCTCTACACGACTCCAAAATGCCTCAACGCTAGACTGCTAAACCTGAAACCCGAAGACTTTGAGGACCCAGATATATAAGTGCCAAAACCCTTCAGAATCCGAGCTTAAGGTTTAGAATTTACTTTAGTGGCTGTCCGACGTATGTGAAGCGACGACACACCACAGCCGCGGGGGAGCTTTCGAACTGCCTGTGCATCCCGCGGCGGATAACCCGCCGTGAACGGCTTTGATTTCGTCGACACAATCTTGGCAAGTCCCGGGTCAAGCCAGGACAAGGCTCTCATCCCGAAACTTGAGCCTGCCCGCATTCCTGGGGTTGCTTCCTTCGGAAATCCATGACAGGTGCTGACTGCGCAATTCGGGGGAGGTTGTTGAATCCTACCAGTAGCAACAACAATGTTCACAGCAACAGCAACAACTGCTACCACAAGTAGTGACCCATCCAGGCCATCATCAAGGCCAGGCCGATTATGCAACTACCGCGTTTCCTCATGCTCCCAGGCTTCGCCATCCCTTTCTTCTTCGGGCGTGCCCTGACAGGTTCGCCCGGCAGTGATTTCTCAGGGATCAGGCTGGGCTGGTTGCGCTTGTATTACCGTATCAAGTTTTGTGGTGCTGTAACATTCGGGGTGCAAATGGCCATTCCAGTAAAAGCTTCAAACTTTCATGCCCAGCAAGCACTGACTTGATTGGGGCTCGCGGAGGTGGGGTGCTCCACCGCGTCTTCGGCATGAACAGAGGCGTCATGCCCTTGCGGATGCCAGCTCTGGGCTCAGTCTGACAGCGCTTCTGCTGTCTTTAGCGTCCCTGATGAATAATCCCCTGTCTCAAGCAGAGCCATCCAATTCCTCCCGGACCCGAACTGCAACGAAATGGGCGGTGAAAGAAGGCCAAGGCTTCACCCACCTGCTTAGCAGCACATGGGGAGCTTCTTTGCGAGAAACCGAGATTCATCGAGATTCACTTTCATCGGAGGGACAAAGCAAGTTGTGGGAATGCGGGGGATGTCGGGGCGCAGGCTGTCGAAAGGTAGAAGAATCATAGGGACCCTTAGGGGGGTAGGGGGGAGGGGGGTAGGAGACTATATTTCATTAAATAGGCCTTATTAGTCCTCATTATGGGCATTAAGGCCCCCTACCCCCCCTCCCCCTACATCCCTAAGTCCCTATGAAAGAACGAACGTTGCAGCATCATCAAGACGAGGATTTCGTTCGCGGGCATGTCTAACATGTGCAAGCTATCGAGCATCATCAAGTCAAAGGTTCTGACCTGCGGAGGGCCTTGACGGATCTCAATTTAAATCCTTCAGCCCCATGGCACCTGGAAAATTTTCAAAACTCCTTCAGCCCCACCCAGTGGGCTTAGACATGCTTCAGTCCTACCCAGGTGTGCCATGGAGGATCTCAAACACCCTCCAGCCCCGGTTGGTGGGCATGTGAACGTCTATTATCTAGTTCGCATCATGGTATTTACGGATCCGGCATGGCTTGTGAGAGCAATGTTTTGCTTCGTTTATTCGAGGGTCGTTGGTTTTTCGTGGGCGCACACCCCGTCATATTTAAGAACAAAGCGAAACGGAGGCTCGCTCGGCCTGCCGTGGGGGTGTACTGATCGTGGGTCAACGCGAGTCCAATTCATGAAAGGAGTTTTTGAGGGGAGTAGAGAAGATCCATGATGAGGGTGACGGCAGCTCCGTCAATCGGAGTAGCTTCGGAAAGTACCGCAATTCCTCCTGAAAAGCTCAGATCAGGTCCAGTCTGTGGTCGGCAAGCCCATTCACGTGGATGCTCCGGTGCCCAAGCCGACTCAGGCACACGTTCAGGGTTATGGCTTGATGTGTTTTCGATGTTGCCAGAATGCGGAGGACCACTGAAGCCGTGTATTGATAGGGAATTGGATAAATGCTCTGGAGCCCTGACGATCAAGGTGGCTTCGGCCATCCCTAGCAAGAGTCTGAATCGCCGATGAAGCAAAGTAAAGCACCAACCAATCGTTCTTCAATCCGTCTGTTAGCGGACCGAAGTCGATGAAGTGTTGAGGCCAGAAGGCTTTCAAACCCACGGAACCAGCCCTTTCCGATGCCAGGAGCAGATAGATGAGTGGCTTATCCGAATTGAGATTGTTTTCTCCAGGCAAGGGCGACGATTGGGAGGAGGGGGCGAGCATGACTTGAGAGCTCTAGTCTGGGAGACTCGTTGAAGCCAGCTCCAACTCCAAAGACCCGACTCCATGAACCCCTAAACCCTGAATCCAAAACCCTGGGCGCCAAGCCTTAAAACAAGACCTGCAGCTTCACAGACGGTGCAGGAAGCCCTGAAAAGACTTGATAGCACCAGACCCACATCCCAAAACCCGAAGCCCAGGCTTCATGCTCGTTATGTTGCTGGACTCCAGGAGGCCGGGAGTGCGGATCCTTCCGAAACCCCGAAAGCTTTGCAATCGTGCCGCTTTCGCTCGTGCACCCACGAAGGGGTTCTTAGTTCTGGGAGTTAGGGACACCTCATCTGAGGATCTTTATGACAAGGAACAGAGGGTGATAATGAGTCCTCGACTTTCTGAAACTCGCGCAGATCTACGACGACTGGAAGGAGAGCTTCTTCCGAGAGCGCAGCCGGGTCCTGGATCGAACCTGCAGCTGCGATTCATGAAGGGAGCGAGGTTGAACACAAAGCATCCCAGCTTCTGGGGTGATAAAAAAGCCATGCGTGCTTCTGAAGATAAGGGGCCTCTAGCACTCGGATCATTCTTAATCCTAGGGGCGCTGACCCAAACCATTTTTCGCACAACTGGGTCGCCGAACCCTAAGACCCTGAACCTCTAAAGACCCTTGAAATAAATCTGTGAAACTGTGAACCGAGAGCCTGCAATGAAATCGACAGCCACGGTCGAACTGAGGACAGGGCGAGCGCTCCAAGGAGGGGCTTTCAATGACAAGCCTGGCTTAGGGTCCGAGTCTTCAATGGGGAGTTCAGGGTTATGGTTTTGTTTTTTTTTTTTCTGGACTCGCAAGTCTTCAGCAGAACGGTGGGTTTGGGGGTGGAGAGCATTGCTGGGGATACTCGGGACTTAAGCTAAGGGATCCAAGGCACTGCCCTTCAGCACTGTCCAGGAGGTCTTGCGACAAGGGAGCTTCCACATGGATAAGATCGAAAGCATGGTGATCAACTGATGCCTGAGCTGAGTGGCCCCGGACTAGGACCAGGAGTATCGGCAGTTTGTGGCTTCGAGGTTCTTTCGTGCTGCCAGGGCTCAAAGAGCGAGACGGTCGCATCCTGCCATTCTTTTCTGTCCCGCCCATCCTGGAGGGTGCCGCTGCCTAGCACATGCACAGGGTCACCCAAGCAGAACTTGTCCTACGACCTGAAGCCGTAAGCATCCGAGTGCATTGAGCCTGCATGCAAGGACCCACAACCCCATGATTAAATGGTGATCCTGTTGACAATAGAGCCTTAACGATTAAGTTTTAAGGGCACCGGGCATGGCTCGGCATCAGCAATGGCTGACTGTCACCTGCTTGGGCCAGCATCGATTGCGGACTTGCGGCTCTTGCGTCGAAAACGCACTTCCCAGCTAAAGCTCCCAAACATCAGTGTTTTGAGTTTTGGGTGAATGACACTTTGTGGAGTTGACAAGCACAACCACCCCGAACCTCATTGGCCGGACCCCCCGCAATTCCCCAAGGCGATTGCCTTTGCACGAAGGACAGGGGGTTGTGAAGTTGCAAGTGGCACTGTCCCGGCATTTCCTTTCGGAGAGGACGCCGAACCCTAAGCCCTTTTTTTCGGAAGCATTTTGGCACCTGGTTTTTTGTGAGAGGACCTGGGCAGACGTACTGACTTCCAGGCTCAACGGCTTGGCAAAGGCCAGCCTTGGTTGGGCGGTTGTCTTCTTCGCTGAGGAATCTGAGGAATGAGAGAATGTCTTTGTTTTGGATTCATCACGGAGGGTGTGTTGGTGTTGGGTTCGTCCTCCGCGCCGCGGCTGCCGGTGCAGCGCCAGGCAGTACAAGAGATCTGTTGATGTTGTTGGTTGTTCGTAGAACGTTTGAGTGGGCGCGGCCTTGCCAGGATCAGCGCCAGGCTTTCCTTCGGCGCCGCCAGAGCATCAACGCTTCGCCCAGGCACACAAGTTCCCTTGACACAGTGATATACCAGATCGGACAGGTCACAGACTGGAAGGGCAGCCCACCCTTCGAATATCATGATTGACTTTGAAGTGCTGCAGAATCGATGTAGTGGCCAAATTGGATTCCCGTGTGATGAGGTCCACAAATCGGGCGTGTTCGACTTCACCACGGTCCGGACCCTGAAGTCGCAGGGAGCGGACACGACGCACAAACTGCGATGCCCAACCCGTAAATCCGTAGCGCATCGATTCTTGGCAAGTATCCATTCCAGAGATGTCGGGTTCAAGCCAAGTTCAACCACGATCCTTGAGGTCGGCCAGCGTAGGTGGCCGGCGTGACGACGAAGAGGCTTTTTGGTTGTCAGTGTCATTGCCTACTTACCGTGTCACATCGTGCCAAACGTGCCGGCAACGTTGCTCCCGAATCCAGAGTCCATAATAACTCCAGTTGGACCTCGCGGCGATCTTGTGGCCTGCGTGGCATCCTTCCGCTGCAGGTGAGCACCCGCCACATTGTGGACTTGGCGGCCCTGTACAAGCTGAGCCCTTTCCGGACTTGGACAGACTTGAAACTGAGTCAGTGAACCGTAGAAGCCGACCTGTTCCTGTTAATCTAACTTGCCTTGCAGCGATGTATAGCGCCTTCTCACATGCGTGACTGGGCTTCTGGGAGAGTGTGGAATTGAAAGTTTGGGTATTCGCGCGGGACATCGCTATCGAGTTGAGAAGCCTGCAATTCAATTCCATCTACCCTGCTTATCTGATCTTATCTGTATATCCATGTGCCCTAAGCCCGAAAATCCAAGTGCTGCATGTCAGAAGTATTGAAAAGATCACGCTGCGGCCCAGCTCAGGATCACACGCGATCTCAGGTGGAAACTCTGCTACTTTGAGGGTCAGGGGATTGTGTCGTAGAGTTGACACGAAATATCTCGCCGAACGTCCCCGATGCCATGTGGGTATAATCTGGGGATGAATTCGTTGTGCAGCTTCGTGTGAATGACAAGCCAGATTGAAGCACATCTCCTGAGTGCAGTGTTTGCAGATATTCGAAAGGACGCCAGTGCTGCTCGTATGCTCCTTTGTTTTTTTTCGTGTCGCAGGACCTTCAGCCATGCCTCTCGCCTGCCGAAGCGCAGCGCCCCCGGACACGATCGTTCCAAAGTCACTCTCCGTTCCAAAGAGCTTGGATGCTCTTCTGCTCGATAAGTCTGTTCCGTGATGACAGGTGCCGAGGGCACGGCGCTAGGCGCTGTGTGACTGCGGTTGCCATGTGGACACATGACTGAGAACCTGCTCACTAAAACACGGAAGATCACGGAAGAGTTGAAGCGCCCCACCACTGCCGCCCAACAAAAGCCTGAAGTAAGCCATGAGCCATGAGCCTCGACGGCCAGAGCCTTTCAACTCCCCAGCTTGTGCACATGCGGTCTGGGCCCGCAGGCGTGCAGCTGAGGTGGGAGCTCGGGTCGCCGGGGTTGAGAACTCGACAACCGCTCAAGCTCAAAAGATTATACGTACATACTACGTGAGGCCCGAAATAGCAATCCTACATGAAGCCATATAACGTACTCTACTCTCAAATTGTAAAGCCCTGCAGAGCCCCGACTCACACCAAGCCCAAAAAAGTGCACCATCCCTTGACAGCGTGCCCGCACTCGACGCACTGCGGCTCCGGTTTGCCGAGCTGGCCCCTGGCCATGCGCACCTCGGGGCCTGGGCCTCGGATGCCCAAGGAGTGCACAGGGGTTTTTGCTGTGGATCTTAGGTTATGAGTCAAACCTATGGCCTCCCAAATCGGCCACGACCCCCTTTTGCCGACCAGGTCCCAGATCCTGCTGACAGCGCCGCCACACACCCAGAGCATCGTGCCGGCCGCTTTTCAGGGTTCCGGCGGATCTCAGGAATTGGTTATCCCGAGTCTTCAAGACCCGTGTGCCCTAAACACCTTTAACTCAGCTGGTTCTAGACACTTGGAAGAGCCATGGAGACGAGTGATGCTGAGAGCCATGGAACCCTTATAAGCTCCAAAGATCCCATTAAGTTCTTTTCGAGTTTCAGAGGCCACGGCCCGCCTGGAGCCGTCTCTGCGTGGCTTCAACCTCGAGGCAACGTGCAAAGGGCCCAGAGGGCCGAATCCACCCCCAGGGGATGTCTTGTGAATTCAGAGACGCCCAAACATACTTCTCATACGGCTTAGTGTATTCTGATTTGTATACATGCATGATTATTGCCTGCATACATGAGTATCTGCATGCATTTTTCAATCCTTAACTACTGGATTGCATACGTATTCGGGTTTCGCGCCCTTTAATTGAGCAGTAAGCCTCAAACTGTGTAAGGCTGCTCATTCAGGCCCAACAATATCACTTAACAAGTTCTGAATCACGCGAGTCTTGGGCTCTCCTGGGGTTTGTGGGGACATCAAAGGATTTGGCCGTCATGCGCCCTCCGAGCAGGCTAAACCCGGACACCTTGAATCCCGAAGCCTTTCGCGCAGAGGAACGGGTTGTAAAACGAAAACCTCAGACTTAAACGCCCAACGAGCCTCAACCTAAAGCCTTGAGGTTGGGTAAAAGGGGCGATGAACAGACACAATTGACGCCCTGAAGCTTTCAAAGCCTGGAAACCTTGAAGCCGTATATCCGTATATCTACAATCCCCACACCGGAGGAGGCCGGGCCTCGCCTCGAAGCACGGCGTCGGCGCTTGGCCACGCAGCTTCTGGCCGGGCTGCCAGCGGTGCCAGCGGTGCCAGCGTTTCAGCATTTGAAGAGCTCCAAAGGGGGTTTATAAGGGCCGTCCAGCGGAGCGCATTTAACAAAACGCAAATATGCATAGGTCTTGGGCTGCGACGTTGTTAAAGCTTTGCATCAGCCACGGCGTTTTTCCGCACTTGTAAACTGCGCCTGGCGCCGATGCAACGTTGACGGACACCGCTGTGTGGTAATGTGAAGGGCATGGAAGCGTGCCTTCGCCGTCTCTAAGGGTACGGCCTATCCTGCAGAGCTCCAGGCGTGAGAATTGGAGACCGTGGGTTGTTTTGGGCAAAGTAAAAGGCTTCAAAGCCTCCCAGACTCCCGGAGCTGTTTTTCGGATGGTTCCTTCAAGAGTTCACTCTATCATCAGTGGGCCTTCGGCGAATTTCCGACCTATCACGTGAACACTGGACTACTGCTCAGATGCCTCCTGGAAAAGCACTAGCAGTGCAGCCTAACAGGGCAAAGAACCGACAGCACAAAAATGTAGACCTCGCCTGTTCGACTTGAAGATCCGATCTTGAATTCAGTGGCTTACAAACCCTCTCCCTACGTCCATCCCAAACCCGGGCAGATTCTTGCACGCTTCGGTGTTCCGCCCAGCATGCGTCGCGAGGTGCCACCGGTGGTGGGTTCTGAGGAAATTTAGGCAGTTTCGGCCATTGCTATTGCTCAGGTATGCTCAGGTTGTCTTGCCCTTTTATGCGCAGAGGGCCCTGTAGCATGCATGTCCAATCGCGAGCAAGATTGCACAACTCATCGTAGCTGCACAGACAAACGAGCGAAGGTCTGGAGCTCGATCATGGGAGCCTCCCGTGCCCTGTTTCACTTCGCAGTCTTTTTGCTGGTGCTCCTCTGGGGGGGGAATGGCGACTGGTCAAAGAGTGGAGGGAAGACTCCGGAAGACTGCGGCCAGGTCACCGAGTCGACAGGCACCGCAGCGCTGCAGGAGCCGACAGCCGAGCCCCGGGTTCCGGTTCCGGCTTTGCGTCTTCGCTCGAAGCCGGCTCGGTCAGTGTTTGTGCAGAGTTTCTGCAGCTTTTGTGGGAAGGACTCTGACTGAGACAAGCGCTTCCCGACACCTGCAGGAAGCTGCGAAAGGAATCAACGAGCAGTGGCCTTGGGCACCAGCGTCAGTAACTACAGAGTGGTACGCTCTTGCTCCCAGAGTTGTTGCACGTGGCAAACAGAGCTCTCGCAAGGTGGGAGTGGCTCACAGATGACGTGCTGCGACTTGACGTGTCGGAACACTGTCTGGTGCCTGGAGTAGTGGCATCATTGCCGAACCTTCGCAACTCACTGTGTTTCCGTTGAAGATGCGTAGAGACGTCAGTAGCTGCGAGGGGTCCATCCATGCACCAGCATCCATCGGGAAAGGTCTTGAAAGGCAGAGTTAAGATGAGGGGGGGGGTAAGAGTATCGGAGAAAGGAAGGCCGATCCTGCCAACAGAAGTTGGGCATGGTCCATAGCAACAGGAAACGTTGGGAAAATGAGAAAGCGCCTCGCAACACGTGTATATTTCATCAAAAGCATATGCATTGCATGTCTTGTTGTTCCAAAAACAAACACATGCATTCCAAGAGGAGCTACACATCCCTGCGCAGTGCCTGAGTCTAGCGAATGTCGCACGGTTCAGCAGTCAATGCGCTGGCTAGTTTAACAGAGACTTAGATTTTCCGTCTCGTCGTCAAAACCCCAGAGGCATGAAGGTCCTGCTGTTTGGCTTCCCCAAGTTTCGAATCTTCATCCCTAGTCGAGACATGCTTCCGGAAGCGCAACATCTCCGCTGCAAAGACGGATGGATGGACGCGTGCATGCATGCATCCATGCATGCAGGTGTGCATGTGTGCATTTGCACATGCAGTATGTATGCAGGTATATAGACGCGCATGCACGCATGTATGTAGGGTCTATAGCACAGAGTATGACCTGCACGACATAGCAGATTGGCCCGAAGATGCCGTCTGGGTTCACGGCAGACATATTTACGATGATAATCTTTGCTTCCTTGCAAGCTTGAAAGCTATCAGCAGCCTGTGCGTCTTCCGAAACTGGTTTGGTTACCTGCCAACCGTCGTCGTTTCCTCGTGCCCCCAGGAAGAGGTGGACAACGTGAAGGGTGGACATTCGAGCTTGAATGAATACTTGGTCCGGCATGGCATCGTACATTTGACAAGACATTCCATCAATGACGTGCCCCAAGATAACGACCAAACAAGCTTCAGCAACTTCGAGGACAGGGTGGAGGGAGGGATCCAGGCGGAGCGAGAGGAATAGGGTGGTAACTGTGTTCTCTTCCACTGCCTTGGCGGTGTGCGTCGCAGTACAGCAGCGCTCTGCGCTTGGCTCATTGTGGGTTACAGCTATACGGCTGAAGCGGCAATCGAAGAAGTGTCTAATGCGCGCGGCAGCTTGAAATGCTGGCACCCGCATTGTGATCATGTGCTCTGGGCGCTTACAGCGCTGCAGATAAAGCAAGATTAGGAGATGACGATACAAAGTAAGCGGCGAACTAAAGGTGGTGCGAAAAAATCAGAAGACGACAGAGATGACTCGCGAGCTGACCGCGGACACACGCAACAATCGTTAGCGAGCTTTTGCTGCGATGTCGTTCGATCATTCCGTGAGCTTACTGCAAATGGAGTGCAGGCTCTGCTATGCCTTGTTCGACAGCTCCTTGCACTTTGGTATGTCGGTGAAATCTCTGGACAAGGAGCACATGCCTGGCCACTTACATAGTTTGCTACATATACATATATGTACGTACGTACGTATGTTCTTATGTACGGATGAAAATGCGCACGTATGTATGCACGAATGGACGGATGGATGGATGGATGGATGGATGGATGGATGGATGCATGGATGGACGTAGACGTGGGTATGCATGCATGGATGGATGGATGCTTGGATGCATGGATGCATGGATGCATGGATGCATGGATGGATGCATGGTTGCATGGATGCATGGAGGGATGGAGGGATGGGGATAGAGGGATGGGTAGCTGGGTGGGTGGGTGGATGGGTGGGTGGGTATGTACATATGTGTGTGTATATATATTCTCAATTTTTACAGAGATGTGTGCATATATATATATACACATATGTTTTGTATATTTTTTCGTTTGGTTATCTGTGCACGTAGGTAAGCAGCATGCCGGTCCCTGGGTAGGTAGATAGGATTATGTATATATGTACGTGTTTTCGGCCTAGGGCCTAGGCGCCAACGACGTCTCCTATTTCCCTTTCGATGAGATCGCCGAGGCGCTCGTGCTGGCGCTCAGCGGCTTGGCTTTGCAGAGCTCGCTCCCCTGCTTGCTGCTGTCATGGTTTCTTTGCTCGGGTTTAGGGCCAAGTTGAGTGTTTAGGGCAGTTGCAGATTCGTGCTTGCCAGTTCCATCTTGCGAGTGCTCAGCTCAGACATTTGGCGTTCTTACAGCATCAAGGAAGAGGGGCAGCTTGCGACTCTTCAGATAGGACAGGTGTCGCAGGAGTCGTCCGAGACCTTGCATTCCGGAATGTCCCGCTTCTGGACTACTCGCCGATGCATGTGAGGTAGAGACCCACAGATCTCATCCATGTGCGAAAGCGGGCGATGAGCCCAGCTGCTTTCGTGCATTGACAGACTCGCCCTATGCGTGCATGTGACCAGAGTGCGTGACAGCTTCTTGCAAGCTGCGACCACAGAGTCATGGACAATCTGACTGTCGTGACAGTGCGCGTGTGTCGGCTTACCTACGTGGGCTCCTTGCGCCGAGAGCATTCTCGACTGAGTACCTTCGAGACTCATCGGAGGCCATGGGGGCTCTTGCCAGCTGCCTATGGGGCTCTTCTGCTTGTGCTCTATTCAATGAGCTGCCTGGCCCAGAGGCTGTGGCGGCCACACCGACTCGATCCCTAAACATTCCGTTGTCAATCGAAAGCTTCTGCATGGGCACTGGCAAGTAAACTCGACAGCAAGTCTGCTAAGAATATAAGGCCACCGCAACTACCAATCGCGTGGAACTCAAGCGGTGAGATCCACATGCTGGCCGGAAATCCGCTTGCACTCTGTATTCCTTCTGCTGGCTTCTGCGGCTTTGACAGTGTGAGAAGCAGGAAGCCTCCGAAATATGGCATTTTCGGAGACCCAGCTTGCCACAACAATGTGCCGACTATCCTGACACCCCCACCGCAATAGGCTCCAGAAATGCAAAATGCACATGAATGCGCCATACATTCCCGGCTCCCGGTATCGCCCGAGGTCATCCCTGCCCCAGACTCCGCGGATGCGACTGCCACGAACCTAGACATCTTGAGATGTGCAGGCTTCCGTGTCTGTTCTGCTGGAGTTGCGGCCTAGGGCCTAGAGGCCTGCAGGTTTTGAGCCCAAGGCCTTGGATCCCATGGCACTTAAGGCCCGAGTTTCAGGGAGGGGGTCGGGTCTTGTGAAACCCCCAAGCCTGAAGCTACTTGTAAGGCAGCAGAATGCCACAAAGGATCTTGAGCCCAAAGTCCTCTTCCCCTTGTGCCCGCCGCCCCTGGAGCTGAGGTATCCAAGGAAGTTTCAGAAGGCGCTGGGACCAGGGCTGGGGAGTGGTTGAGGCTGAGACCTCCTTGGTTCACTTCTAAGATTAAAGGTGTTGAGGGCATTAGGCTTAGGGTTGGAGGCCTTGGAGGGTTTCGGGTTTGAGGCTTTCGGGTTTGATTTAAGAGGACTTACTGGGGCGCAGGGTTGGCGCAGGGACCGTCTCGCATGGCAATTGAAGCTGTTCCGGCCAGGCGCGTTGACGGTCCCTCCCTGTGGCGCCCCGCGGATCGCACCGAGTGGCTGCTTTCTTTGGTTTTGGTCTTGTCCCAGCCCCGAGAGAAGGTAAAGAGCTGGTTGAGATATGTCGAGGTCTTGCATTGACAATGATAGCTGCGTGTCTTGCAGGGTTTCAACGCTCGTTTGGGGGTGGGTCCCAAGGCTTGTGCCCTGCCAGCTTCCAACCTCCCACGAGTCGGCACTGTTGTCGCCGTGTCTCCAAGGCTTTTCCGTTCCTGACTAAACATGCTCAGCATCCTTGTGAATGCATGCTGACTTATCACCGCAGGTCGATGTTGCGGTGCTTCGTCTGTCGGGAGGTAGAGCAGATAGGATGCAGCCGAATGCCCGTCTAGCAAGACTTCATGTTGTTGTTGAGTTGCCACTACAGGAAGGAATGCAGTGCCTTCGAGATCCAATCTACCATCTCTCGAGGTAGTGCCCTTCAAGGGTTTCTCCAACTACGCGTGCCCGTTTGCCTTCTTGTCAGACCGCTTGGAGACGGCCCGGAATCCTAAGTTCTGGGAGGACGTGGAAAGAGCTTGACCTGTAAGAGGAACCGCACATGTGTTTCGCATTCTGACAGTCTACGGCAGGAAAGCGGAACGTTTCGCAGATGTTGTCATGGGCCCGTGTGCTGGAAACCCCAAGGTTTGATGAGGCTCGAAGATCGGTATCCAAAGTCCCATCGGTCCAAAAACCCAGCCGAACCATGAGGCCTACCCCTTGTTCCGGGCCTTTTACTGTCGAATCCTTTGCCACTTGCCGCGGGCTGAGAGCGCAGTCGACTTTCGAGGTTTCGGGCACGTGCACTCACCGGAGCTGCCTTCGTAAGGCACACCATCTCGAATCGGCCAGAGACGTTCCCCGGCTTGGAATAATTAATAGCAGCCCGGAGCTCGCGGCTGAGATTTGGAAGAGGTTGCGTATCTTTATGTCGAGGGATCAGAGCACATTTGGTGTTGTCTTGCTTCTTAGCTGCTCTTCTGCTCTGCTTGAGATCGTTCTTCTCCGTGTGCAGAAAAACACGGCAGCTGCGATTCGTGATCTCTGGAAAGTGGGTCTACCCAGCATGAGCTCTATTCGAGGCTCTTGCATCTCTGTGCCCTTTTCGAGTCACTTGCTGAAGCCACCGCCCCACGCGCGGCGCAGCACGTGAAGCAGCCCGGGCCCCTGGAACCGTTTGTCCAGAGTCGGGGGTTTTGGGCGGTTGGTCCATTGGTGGCTGTTTCGTGTGTTGACCTGAGTTTCGGGTCTATGTTGCTGGAAAACCAACCTGCAGCTAGTGGTCAGCCTCCTGCAAAGGGCAAAGGGCATCGTTTGGGTCCGTCGCATCTTCCTGTCCCCTCATGTCCAACAAAAAGTGGACAGGTTGGCTGTGGACTCGGCGCCCTTGCGCCACCTGGTAGCATCTTCGCAGACCTGCCCGAACCCGGGAGCCCGGGAGTCCGAAGTTGCACAAGTGCCCGTCCGAGGTTTTGCTTTCCACTGGATAGTCACAGGCTTTGCGGGGTGCCAGGCACTCAGCGTCGAAGCTTTGCAGCAACGCCACGAGTTCAGTTGGCTTCTCAGGCCTCCCCGCAGAGCAGCTGCTGCACCTTTGGGACCGTCTCCTGGGGCTGGGCCCTTGGACCGCCTCTCGCTCATGTCTGTTGGCTCTGAACTCTAGGTTCCAGGGAGAGCCTTACAAGTTGATTCTCTGCGACGTTTGGCCTAGGGCCTAGGGCCTGGTAAAGATCGGTCCTCACAGTAGCTTCAGCCCTCCCCCAAAAAAATAAGGAAAAGGTTGGTTGTAGGGTTCTGCCCCCCGACCCTACATAGGCCCCTATGTCGTTTTATCAACATAGCTCACTTTAATAATATTTCGTTTTGTTGTCATCTTAATCAATTTTTTGTATTAATTCTGGCAAAATTTTTAACATATTTTATACAGAATTACCTTATGCATTTTCACATTAACGCTCCTCTAACATTTAAACACAAATTTTCACAAATTTTTAACAATTTCTCAAAAAATCCCAGCCCCAGTCATCTCATTCATTTTAACAAAATTTAAAATCAGTTTTAGGCATCTCTAACGTTATAATTTTCTAGGGTTTTTGTCCTTGTAGTAGTTTTTTCAAATATATTGTTTCGGCATCTGTTTCATTACTTTAAATTTAATCTCCTACTTCGTTTTTGTATTTACTCCTCTGTTTCATTCTAATTTTTTTCAAAATTTATCAAAAAATTATCAAAAAATATCGTCACCTTATTCAGGTTTTTTCGCCTCTCATTTGTATTCAGCTTCTGTCATGGTTTATGTATAATATTCTATATAATATTATGTCTACATTTATAATAATATTTTATATCAATATTATTATGAATGCATAATTGTATACAAGTTTGCTAGACCCTTAGGTTCTGTTTCTTTAAGATGTTTTTGATGCTTTTTAGTTTGTATATGTCTTGACAAACAATATTTAGTAACTTGGCAGTTACAATTAGAACAATAAACCTTTTCCTTCTGCTTGCTCAAAATATTGTCTTTATTATTTTGATAGTATTTTTTGTTCCTTTCATTGATTTCTTCCTTGTTGCATTCTCTGTATTGTTTACTCTGTAGAACAATTTGTTCACGATTCTCTTGTTTATATTTTATTGTCCTTGCTATTTCTTTATCACGGTTATTATGGTAATATTCTTTTGCTTTCTGTCTCAATTGTTCCCTGTTCTTCTCTCTATATATGGCTTTCTCTTCTAAACATTCATTACATAACTTTCGCTCTGGTTTAAAATGTTCTTCTCCTTTTTCCTTTTTGCATTTAGAACAAATTTGATTAGATGGTTTAATGTCAGAATTTTCCATATAATATTATGGGGCTATTTCTTTAAATGTTTTTGCGTTTACTTATCTTAAACAGGCTACCGAACATATCACCGATATTTAAAAAACTTCTTAAAGTGTCACCGATATTCTCCCGAAATATCACCGATATTTAAAAACTTCTTAAATCACCGATATTCTCCCGAAATATCACCGATATTCTCCCGAAATATCACCGATATTCTCCCGAAATATCACCGATATTCTCCCGAAATATCACCGATATTCTCCCGAAATATCACCGATATTCTCCCGAAATATCACCGATATCTCTCCCGAAATATCACCGATATTCTCCCGAAATATCACCGATATTCTCCCGAAATATCCACGATATTCTCCCGAAATATCCACGATATTCTCCCGAAATATCCACGATATTTTAAGACCTTCCCGAAATATCCCCGATATTCTCCCGAAATATCCACGATATTTTAAGACCTTCCCGAAATATCCTCGATATTCTCCCGAAATATCACCGATATTTTAGAACCTTCTTGAAATATCACCGATAGGCTCCTGAACATATCATCGATAGAATCTTGAACATATCAGTTAAGTAGCTTTTACACTAATATAATATTCAACTTAATTTTAAGGCGATGCCCTCCAGCCCAGCCGGCACCCCCTAGGCTTAAAGGGTAGCCACCTTAAAGGGTATGGAGAGCCCTAGCCCAGAATAAAAAATATACTTAAAGATATTTTAACATTATATTAATATAATGTTTTTATCAACATTAGAACAAGAAGAAATTATTAATAAATTCTTAAATGTTATTGAAATGAAAACAATTATTAATCATAAAGTTAGTATATGTAAAAACTGTAAGTTTAATCAACAGAACTTGAGCTTATATAAATTAAATATACCTAGTAATATTGTTAAAGATATTTGTAAATATAATTATAAAGAATGTGAAGTATGTAAAACTTTAAAAGAGTTTAAAGAAAATGTTTATGATTACAGTATGGAAGATTTTGAAAATGTGGTTAAAGCAGTTGAAGATAAACAACAATATAGTTTAAACAATTACACAGAACATAAAATAGATAATCAAATATATTATTATATTAAACTAAATCCATTTCCTACATTTGATGAGACATTACATTATACCAAAAGTGTAATACCAGAATGCAAATTTTATAATATTGATTTCTATAATGAGGTTAAATTATTATATTATAATTCATTTAATGTTGATAAAAAAGTAAAAGAATTTTACAGCAAACAACGAAATAAATTTATAAATGATTATTATGAAAATGTAGATAAAAATAATGATACAAGGAGTAAATTTATTAATTATATAAAAAGTCAAATAGATAAAGTTGAAAGTGCAATTAAAGAGATTTTATCATACATAGACAATAATGAAAAATTTAGTAAACTAAAATTTAAATTGTATTCAAATGAAGCTTTTAAATTTATTAATATGCGAATAGGAGAAAATGATTTTGACGATGATTACACATTTGAACGTTTTATAGATGCTAAATATCCTTATATACCTAAAGAACAATACATGAAAAAATTAAACAAACAAAAACAATTACGAAAGGAAATGGAAAAAGATTTTATGAATAGAGTAGATGACTTTTTAACATAAGACAATAACTATCATATTATATTATAATATGAATGTTAACCGCCAGCCCAGCCGGCACCCCCTAGGCTTAAAGGGTAGCCACCTTAAAGGGTATGGAGAGCCCCAGACCCACCACTGAGATAAAAAACTACTTAAAAGAAAATGTACATTATAATAATATGGATATTAATAGACAAAAATCTGTAATGAAATATGTTTTAAATAGTGATGTAGGTAAAATTAAAACAAATAAAGACGGTAAACAATTAAAAAAAGTTATTATAGATGATAAAGAATACCCATATAATCCATCAAAACCTTTTTCAGGAACACTTATAAATAAACTAGAACAAGTAGAAAAAACACAAGGTTACAAACGTTTTAATATACTTGATAAAGCATCTAAGGGGATAGCAGTAAGAAAAGCTTTAAAACGATATTCTATATCAACATTCGGCACAAGAACTAACGTATTTACAGCTTTAAAAGCTTATGCTAACACATATGCCATAACAAACATTCAAAAATTAGGCTATGCAGGATTAACTCACATATATTATCAAAAACCTAGGTTAAGAGAATATTTAAATAAAAACAAAAGTATGAAACTATTAGTTGATGTATCCGTTCAGTTTAAGCATTTAGAAGATGAAGATAAGGATTTTGTTGCTAGTATTCGTTCACGACGATATAATATATTAAACGAAGAAGACTTAAACAATGCAATAAATAATATGGCATCAGATATAGAAATAAGCGTAGAAAACAAGAATTTTTATAGGTCTGATTTGAAGCTTCATAAAATAAACAAAATAACATTTCATTATGATAAATATGACCCGACAAGAGCGGGTAAATTTATTGAATTACCTAGATGGATTTCTTTAAAGAAGGCTTGTATTAACATTCAAAACAATGATGAATTTTGTTTCAAATATTGTGTTTTATGTAAATTTTTTGAAGTATATAAAAAAGACCATCCATGTAGAATATGTAAATATAAACCTTTTGAAAATGATAGTATAATTAAATGGGAAGGTGTTAATTTTCCAGCTTCAAATGAGGATATTGATTATTTTGAACAAATAAATAAACAGAAAATTTCAATAAATGTTTATATAGTAGATAATCAAAAAATACGAGTAGATAGAGTTACAAAAATAACCGAACCTATATGTCATGTTAACCTTCTTCGTCTTGATGATGATGAGGGAAGCCATTATGTTTTTATTAAAGACTATTCTAGACTTTTAGGAGGACAAACAAATAAAAAAACAAATAAACAATTTTATTGTCATTATTGTCAAAAAGGATTTACGAAAGAAAACTTATTGCATACTCATCTTACTAAAGGTTGTATGGCTAACGAGGTTCAAAAAACAGAGATGCCCGAAAGTAATGAAAAAATGTTCTTTAAAAACCATTATAAAAAGTTGAGATGTCCATATGTTATTTATGGTGATTTTGAATGTTTAACAACTTTATCAAATGAAGGATTAAAAGGGGCGTACCAAAATCATAAGCCGTCAGGATTTATGTTAAATGTTGTTAATTCTATTACAGATGAAGTTAAGCCTTATTTATACAGAGGTGAGGATTGTATGAATGTATTTTGCAATAAAATGAATGAAATAAGAGTTGATATTATGGAAAAAATGAATAACCCTTTACCCATGGAAAAATTAACAGATGAAGAAGAAAAACAATTTAGAGAATGTAAAAAGTGTCATATTTGTGGAGGTTCATTTAATGATACGAAAGATAAACAGAAGGTTCGTGACCACTGTCATTTTACTGGTAAATATAGAGGTTGTGCTCATAACAAATGTAATTTAGATTTTAGTTTTAGATACTTTAAAATACCCGTATTCTTCCATAACCTTAAAAATTATGATGCTCATTTAATTATATCTAATCTTGATAAGTTGAATAGTGAAAAAGACGATATAAATGTAATAGCGCAGAATAGTGAGAAATTTGTTACCTTTTCAATTAAACAAATTGAATTTAAAGATAGTTTTAGTTTCTTATCTTCATCGTTAGATAAGCTAGTTAAACTAACTAAATATGAGAATAATGAAAAAAGACCTGACTGGACAAAGCATTTTAAATATAGTAAGATGAGTGAATATGTAAAAGATGATTATGATTTAGATTTAC